AAAGATATTTTACTACGGCACATTTTTGTAGTGAAGCTGTTTTCAGCTCTACTGTATTCGGTATCATCCGATAACTCATATAGCTTTGTCCTCAAATTATCTGATCTTTTTATCACATCTGTGACCTTTTAGGTACGCGACGCTTTGGATAGAGCGATGAAGGGCAGAACCGTTTTAATCATAGCTCATAGGTTGAGCACCATTCGAAATGCTAATCTAATCTGCGTCGTCAAGGACAAGAAGGTAATTTGGTTAACTTTGGGTTTTCTTTTGTCATTTTAGATTAGCCTCCATTTTAGGTTCTGGAACAAGGAACACATGATGAATTAGTGCGAAAAGAAGGCATTTACTATAATCTCATCAAGTCCCAGTTCAATTAGGTTAACTTTTTGTAATTTAGTAGGGGTCTTAGCAATATTCACAGCACCGTTTTATGTATCTCAGACTTACTAAAGTACCTCTCGCTAGGTTTTATATTGTAGTTGAGGAGAATGTTGCCATTCATTGTATAGTCTGTGATATTTCATAGTTTATTAGGTATTTGCAATTTCACATGTTGCTCAGCAAGATCAGTCGTGTACATTTTCACGGATTGAATGTACACTTAGTGAAGATTCTCATCATAAAAAAACTATTTGTACATCTTCTCATGATTAACACACACTAAAGCAGTGCTGATAACAAAACATGGCAGTCACTTAAGTAAAGCAAATGAAAGAGTAGTCTATGGGAGGTTATACGTCCTTCTATGCTCGGTATCCGGACTCCTCGACGATGGGCTCAGCAATGACGGGCTCGGCAGGCACTGCTACGGCTGCTGGTTCCTCCTCAGGAACAGGTTCAAAGGTGGTCACCACGGCGGCAGGTTCGTATGCTGGGGTGACTACTGGGACAGGCTCATCACCATAGGCGTTACTGCCTGCTTGTCTTTTTGAACGATATCCGGATTCGACGACGGCCGCCTCGGCAGCAGCGGCAGGATTTTCGTTTTCAACTGCTTGTGGCTCTTCTTCAGTGGGCATCACGACTGGCTCCACCGCAG